ATATTATTTTAAATGAAATACCATATTTCACTTTTCCCTATCGTATAGACCTTCTCTGACCAAAACAATAGCCACTAGCCACTTGTGGCTATTTACACTTTAATTTTAATTGTAATCAATTAAAAACAAAATTTAAAATTTTTTTTAATCTCCTTAGCAATATTACAGTATTCAATAGTCACATGTGGTTTAGCGTCTACCATATTGTACATTACAGATAAAGAATATTTTCATCATCACAGAGAAACTATTAGCACTAATATCAACAAATAAGAGTTGGAGAATACTCATTGTTTATATGGGAAGTGGGGGAATGGACCCTTTCATACAGTTTTGGTGGAAACAAAAATGCCACTAACAAAAACACACATGCACTTCATAGAAAAAAAGGAAAACTGAAATTGTTTAAATGTCTATCAATGGGGAACTAGTTAAATAAATGAGCAAACACCCACACAATAGGCGGCTATGCTATTTATTAAAAACCATATACATAAGCAAAACATATCAGCACAGAAAGCTGTCCTGGATGTGTTTTTATGTAAAAACACAAACCACAAAGCACTTAATGTGAATAACATAATCCCGTTTGTGTTTGAATATACATATATGTGTATATACTTTTTACCGTGATAAGAACTATTATACTCTTACTTTATTTAATCAATCATATGTTAGAGAAATGAGCTACCCAAAAGAATGTGTGCTGAAAACCTGTTTGCCCAGCCCTGTGCTAGTCTGAACTGAGTCAAGCTCTAGCTGATGGATTCTGCTTCTGTTTGCTGAGGACTTTATATATCCAAAGCAATCCTAAGTCATTCACCTCCCCAAAATAGGTTAAATATGAAGTCATATTTTGTGAATTTTTACAGTTACCGCAATAAACACTATGGGCCTCCAAGAAAGTCCCTGAAGCCAAAGGATTCTTTTAGGGAAACTGGTGGATATTTGGAGCTCCTGGGGGGAAAGTGCTCTCCCAGACCATCTCTCTTCTACTACCCCTTTTCCCTCTGCTTCACACAACCACAGCTTGCCCTTTCCTCTGCCACCTCACTCCCATAACCTGTTCCATGCAAGAGAAATCCAGATCCAAATCTTTATGCAACCTCGAATATGCAGCAGGTTAAGCAATGATTCAAACTGCTTCATGTGACTTCTTGTAAACATAAAAGGGAAATCATACAGCAGGCTTCATGGGAGTCCATTCTCTTTCTCTGTCTCTCTCTCTCACTCTCTATTTATCTGTCTTATGTATGCACATATATGCATATATGTATAATTGTGCCTATGTACATATGTATGCACACACACGTACATTCATGCATACATTTGGTTTCCATGAGAGCGCCTAGGGCAATTCTAAGCATTGGGCTTGTGCTTACTAATGTAGGGAGGTTCTAGGGAGAGGAGGAATGCTTAGAAGGAGAGAGGACACTAGTGTCTGTAGGTGGACCTGATCCTCAGGCAAGGAAATAATTTGGCTCATTTGGTATATTTTTGTAGGATCAAATCATTAGATAGTAAATATGATGTAAGTCTTTAAACCAGGTCAGTGATAAAGGAAATATTTTTACTTCTTAGTGTGTACAGAATTACAAGCTCCCTAACAGAGAAAAAGCATCTAGACCCCTTAAATATCTTCACGCAATAAAACATAAACATGGCTTCTGCCTCAGCTGCACTCTTTGAAGCTTGATTTCCTCCTTCACCAATCATTCCTGGAACTGAGTGACCTTTGGTCATTCAGTGCAGAGCCTCTCTCCGGTCCTGGCAGGCCTCTCTGCCTGGAGAGCTGACCTGAAGAGGTCCAGGAGACACAGGCTTTGCCTGGCAACAGTCTTCTCCATTTTAATAAGTCTCATTGGCCCGTAAGACTCATGCTTTTTTGAGTTCCTGATTCATGCCAAGCACATTTACTGGACATTTTGGCTTAAAGAGCACTAAGGTTTTAACCCATTTAGGACTGTTTTTCTGACTAGTTCTGGAAGCTTAGATTTTTGCCTATTTACTCCTCAAGCACTGCCACTCACTGCTCCCACGTTTTCTTATGTCTCTCATCTCCCCAATAACAATAGCCCTGGCTAGCTTATCCCCTACTGCACACACATGTGCACAGGTACACACACATATTTTGACATAGATGATGGGCAAATAATCTTTACAGTGCTAGAATGTTGAAGATTTGATGATGATTTTAATTAATACAACTAAGGCCAGGGAGGAGAAGCCTTTGGAGATATTATGTGGAAAGGTACATTTCCTCTTAAATTCTGTCTCTTTAATTTTTCTTCCCTCAAAAACTTGTCCTTCAAGTAGAGATTCCTGAAACATTTGTTTTTCATCTGAGACCAAACCACTGGCTACTGAATGGGTAGCATTGTGAATTATGGGGCATGAGAAGAAAGAATTTTGAAAGGAAATTATTTGTAAACATTTTTCTTTTTCCACCTCTTTTAAGAAGGACCCACATACCATGAAAATGTTGTCTCAGATTTTGAGTTCAGCATAGACTTTCATTTTCATTAATTATTCCAGTAATTCACAATATCATTCCCTTTGGGCGATGCACAGAAAGAAAGTGGCATTTAGAGAGTCAAGCCTTTTCAGAGCAACCCTGGGGGAGGCCAAGTATGCCTGGCCTCTGCCATTCCTAGTGGTACCAGGGGCAGGCTGTGCCTTTCTGCAGGATGTGGCACATCGAGCCTGCCTCCATGTGGGCAGCCTGAGGGCAGTTCGGGAGAAGGACACTGCCCAGGGCACTCCTCAAGGCTGCCTGTCCACCATTGCTCTCTCTCTCTCTCTCTCTGTGTGTCCGTATGTCGTGAGAGCACGGGTGCCTGGCAAACTGGTGAAGCCCCTCATCACCTGTCTCCCCATGTCAGGGCAGGACCTCACCCTTACTTTGATGCTGTGCTGGATTTTTGTTTGAAACCAGCACTCCACATATAGTTTTAGACAAACCAGTAATAACTATCATGGCCTGCAAAATACTTTTCTCTCAGGATGTTTCGTTGTGCTTTGAGTACATTTTAACACAGTGAGGTAACATTCACAGACTCCTAAACAAATCACCTCCAGAGACATCCCGTCCATCGCCATGACGCCAGGCAGGCTTCACCCAAACCCCCCAGACATAGGTGAATATCCTGTTTTCACAGGTCATCAGGAAAAGAGACTCCACAGCCTCTCTGGGGTAACCCTTTTCAGTGTTGACTTCCCTTCAGCGCTGTCATTATCTTTGTATTAGAGGGAAACGCTAGACTGCCATGACCTTTAAAAACCCACATTTGAATGTTTTGAATCAGATGTCACAGAGCCTGATTGTCAGCACAGTATTTAGCTGGCATTGAAAAATGCAAACCAAATATTGACATCTACTCTTGGGATTGGACCCAGTCAGACAGCTTTCACTTTACAGTAAACGCCTGACCTGCTGTCCCCTTAGGATCCCCTTCCACGTGGGATCTGGTCATCGTTAAATGGTGAGGTTCTGCAGGTGTACTGCTACATCTTTCTACTCCCAGAAATCACAGCCATCATGTCCCTTTCCCTAAATCGTGTTAGCAGGAGCAGAGCTGCCATAAAAAGCAAAGCACCGTATTTCCTAGAGTCCTCGCTTAGACAAATGCAAAGATTTCTGATACTTGGTTAGTTCCTTTGGTTTTTAGAAAAGGCAGCTTTAAAGGAATCTTTCTCTGGCTTTCCCCTTCTGTGATGCAATGCGGGAAACCCCAATGTGGTCTCTAAGAGGTCCAGTTACATTTTGGCACATGGTAATCCATAGAGCCTTCTACAGTTAGAGGAAAATAGGTACCTCCCTTTCTTCCGGCTATTTCCCTTGGCGAAGTAACAAGTCAAAAGGAACTGGACTGGTCAGGAAAGCCCTGACCAAGAGCTCAGACAAGATACAGCTCCGTGAGATGCAGCATGCGCAGTCATTGTCTGAGACCAAGGGCCTGAAATTGACACCATATGTGCCCCAGGAGTGATTACTCCTGAGGGGGGAGAAAAGCAACATGTCAGAACATTTTAGTAACACCTAATTCATCCCAAGGTTATAAATAAATATGATGCTTGCTTAAAAACAAAAGTCAGAAAATACTTCAACTAGATTACTTCTGTGACAGTGCTTCAGGCAGAGGTGAACTTTATTAGGGAGACAACATGAATAAAGAGAAACACATAACTACTTTTTATGGTATATTTTACGTGATTTTATTTTTTTTGCAGTAAATAAAGTGGTTATAGGGCTCCAAGGAAAAGGGCCCAGATGTTAGAGCGTTGTGTGAAATTTAGGGGAAACAAGCTGTAAAAAACACAGTCATAAAACAGGCTGTCAGTGCCACACATCTGGACAATACAGCTGTATGTTCCTAGTGGCTGTCGTCACCCAAAGAAAACTCAATAACCTTATTTCACCCCAATTAGGCTGCATACCAACATGATCAACATTAAGTTGCAGGGGGGAGCAACATTCATATGGCGCCTTTGTGTCAAGCAGCTTTTATCTTTCATTTGAATTTAGTTACAAAGAAATAAAAGACTGCTAACATAGTCATTTCCACTATTATAAAACTCTATTTAATTTATAATGTCCTAATAAGTCAAAGTTTGACAGGTTGGACTACTGGCTACGCCAAACAACAATAGACTTTCTGTAGCATGAATCACCCTATCAGTCATCCTAAAATGGAGGCCAGCCTGTCTTTTCTCTACCCTTTTCCTGGAGTCTCAGTTTAACACCATCGTTGGAAGCACTCTGCCTTATTGGAAAAAGAAGTCGATATTCAGACAATTCAATTTATTTAAAGTAGAGGGTAAATGCCCCTCTGTGTAGCATTGAGGCATTTTTTTCCCTTTTTTTTCAGCCAGCAATGAGGTATCTTTCCAGGATGGCAAATAATATAAAATATAAAATTTCCTTTCATCTTTTCATCACTGACAGACTGTGCCAAAGGTTATAAAACATCACTTTTTCTAATAATTGTGTTTCTCCATAGGTGTTAATGGCAGCAAAAGCAATTATGGATAGCGGAGAGAAATTAACCTTACCACTGATAGGGAAACTCTTGAAATTTCAACTTCTCCAGATTAAATTTAAGGACCAACAGCGACGGGAAAATGAAAAGAAGGTACTGTACGATCTGATGGGTTTTCTAAAGAGGGCAAACGGTGAATGAAATGGAGCCAGGTTTCTCCAGGGGCACTTCCTCTCTTCTTAAGCCTACCATTAAGTGTTACCTGGCAAATTTGGCTGTCACCTCAACTTCTTAGGGAAAAGGCTGTCCAAAGATCTGGAGGGGTTATGATAAACCCATTAAAAATCGGTTCCCTAAACTATGAAGGTTACAATATTCAAAGCATGTGCTCAAGATTGTTTCTATGGCAGTATATTTATATAATAAAGTTGTAGCCAAGAAGGGACCCAGGGAAGAGACAGGGAGTCAGGAAAACTAATATGAAAAGGACAGTTGCAGGGAACCCTCACAGTTCAGGTCTGACTATTTAAGATAGTTTATATGATACTCTATAGACGTACCTTTTAAAATAATAGGCATATCGGTACCTTCATAATAATCTGAATATTTCAGCAACAATCCATCACTTCTACTCCTATATTACACATCTGATAATTTCTTTATACCTGGATTTTTTGTTTAATTTGCTTATAGAAATCAATCTGTGTGTTTTCCAAAGACTCATATTTGCATATGAAAAATATTTCAAAATGCTGTTAGCAAACTGCTACCAGGTTCACATCCATTTGCTATCATCATAGCCCAAAATAAGATGTTTTTCTTATTTTCCAAATCATGCTGAATTATGTTTGGAAAGCCCAATGCTTCAGTATATACATATGTAATGTTTGTGTCTGCATGTGTATGTATGAAATGGATTTGCATATGAAGTCATTTCTTTTTGCCTTAAGTGGAAAAGGCAAAATCAATTCACAGAAGCAAAAAGAGAAAAGTGAAAATGTTCCAATAGTGCCTTCTTCAGCTTTTCAAGACCCCCAAAACCTAGGTTTCCTATTTGAATTGGCCTCTCAGCAAGATAATTGTAAAAAAAAATAATAATGCCACCTTCTATTTCAATATAGGGCTTTATGTTTTTTAGAGATAATTCCCATATAGCATCTTCTTAGGGTGGTACATATTGTGCCCAGAAAAATTCTACTCATATTACCACAATTGATACTATAGTTTTCCATCTAGTGAAACTCTTTCCATCGTGTTGGGGGAGTTGTACATTAAGAAGTACTCAGGGTAATTAAGACTTGGCAGAAGAAAAATTGGAAAATTTGAAACTAGTATAGAAACATCTCTTGCCTGTTTAAATTCCAATGCCATATGGGAATCTGAATTATAAAAAGCAGACTGTAATTCTTGCAAAAATTTCTGCACTTTCTGTTTGCTTTGCCCTTTCCCACAGCACTTACAAATAGTGCGCTAAAGAGCAGCAATTTACTTGTTTACCACTTATTGCATCATTAATTGTTTATTATAGGAGTAGATTGTAGGTTTCAGTTAACAAATTTTAAGTAAAAACAAATAAAATATCCTAGTAGCTTGGAAAACGTTTTTAAAGCTTGCAACAATATAAAAATATTTTTGCACCATTATTTTACTCAGCATTTCTTTGAAATGTGAGCTCTAATAATACAATTAAGAGGTTCTAAAGATATGGAAATAATCTTTATCTGTTGAAAATTTGAGAGTTCTGGGTAACTGGGGCATGAACCTTAGAGTTTTTATTTTCTTTTAAGTATTTAATACAGTAAGAGAACTTTTGAGCAATTAAGAGCCAATGATTACATAATCTAATATGACATCTCCATTATTTTGGGTTCGCAAAGCACCAACCCCAAATCTCTGAGTCACAACCGTATGAGTAAGTGCTAAATAAATTGATGAAAACACGTTGGAATGGAATACAATCAGGAAAATACTCCTGGTAAAGGGGAGATGAAGGCAGTTGTTTGTGGGATGATATCATTGATGTTCATTTCAACAACACTGCCTAAGAGGTCAGTTGAAACCATCAAGGCCAATGCTTGTCAGCCAAGGAGTTTGGCAATAAACGAAACAAGCAGAAAGTATGCAAAGCTGACACCATGCTGTGGATTAGAATATGAAAAAAAGAAAAGAGGACTTTACCTATATCTTTTCATCTTTCCTGAACCCACAGTGAGATTCTGAAATTTCTACAAGGTTAGTGACTGACTCCTCAACTTTTTAACATCAACATATCTATGTAGATGTTGTCTTTCAAATGTTAATTAATTGCTTACATCTGTACAACCCAAAGAGTGTTTTGTATATTCTATGTTTAATTTTTGAAATTGTATTTTTAAGAATCAGTGCTTGAAAAGTATCTGTAATAGAAATTATAGAAAATCTTAGGTGAAAGTGAGGGCAAAAATAAGTAATATAACTAGGTACCTGTTCTAACGTTTTAGTGTTTCACTATATATTTGATCCTGTTTTAATCAATCAAAACTTTTGAAAAAAGATAAATACAGTTTTAATTGCCAAATACAGTGAAGAAATATCATTCTTTTCAACTTCATTGCTTTTAATAACATTTTAGTCTGGGCTATGGTTAACATTGCTTTTGCTTTCTGCTTTGCAAGAAAGCTTGCTGGGTAATTCATATTATAAGAAATACGAGGAAAGATACTTCTAAAATGAATAGTTTTAAAACCTTCAGCATGTAAATTTCTGGTATACAAATGCCAGCCTCTAATTGCAAATAACTTAAATCTATCTGAAAACATTTATTTATTTGGAAATACCTTGTTGATGAACTCCAAATATAAATATCATGAAGAAAATGTACTGTATTTCCATAAACATATTTTAGCATTTTAGAACTTCTGAATATGACTTTCTCACACAATAATTCTAAATTAGTTTGATTTTATTATATCTTAAAACTTAAATAAAAGTGTTTTGTTTAGAAATATATTTTTCTTACATCCTTATCTCAACATTTGCTTTTGCATTTTTATTTCTATATGTTGCTAATTTATTAATTCAACAAACACTTACTGAAACATTTACAAAAGCAGTGTACTGAACACACATATTCTCATGTTCCTTATAATTATAAAGTAAATTGTTTGGTTTTCATTCTGATCTATTTTGATTTAGTCATTATCTGAATATTATATATCTACTCACATTTTTGTGAGTAGATATTAACTTCAACTTTTAACTTCAACTTTTGTATTATATATTAATTATGAGCACATTTAAAATCAAGACAATTTTGAACCCAAATATTTTCCTTATATTGATAATTCAACTAAAAGAAAACACTTGATAATAAAAAGAAATGAAAAAAAGCTACGATACAAAAAGTCATTAACTATTTAAATAATTGGTCAAATAAAATCTAGTCTTAGGTTCCTTTGTGTTGAGCTCAAAATGTTTGCACAGGTTTTGGGAGAAGATCCAAATATATTCCAACTGTGCTTTTAATTTATGAATTCAAATAAGTCGTCCATATTTCCTTAGATGTTTTTAGAAAGCGTATCTTTTTTGTAAAAGAATAGTTTGTTCTTTTGCTAGCTCATATGCATGGTACAAAGTGCCTTATTTCCTGAGGTACTAGAATTGAAGAGAAGGAAGATAGGTGGTAAAGAACTAGGGAAACTTTTTGTAACACTGGTAAACTATTCTTAAAACAATTCAAAATTAAAAGTGTCTACATTTGATAATACATCATGATGAAGCCCCAAGCAACCCAGAGCCTCCTCCAAAAGAGAGACAAAGAGAAATTAGAGTAGTTTTCACAGACACCTTCCAGCTTCCTCTGGTCCAAACTCCGAAACACTGGAAACCTGCCAATGTAATGCCACTGTGTGTGTGTGTGTGTGTGTGTGTGTGTGTTGTTTTAAAAGAAAAGCCATAGGGACATACCAGGAAATTACAGGCTGGTTAGTTTTGATTCAGTTGTGGTTAAAATCTTCAGAAACTATTTTAAGAAATCAAACAGAGAAAGAGCAGGGACTCGGTTTAGAAGGACCCGTGTGGTTTCAGGAAAGGAATAACTTGCCTCACTAACTGGATGGAATTCTTTGAGGGTGGATTATCGAAATGAGGATCCCACTAAAAGGGATGTTGAATCTAAGGAGCTTCAAAAGCTAACAATTCAAGAGAAATAATAAATGACCCCCCAGCTGGCTTATCCATAAAATAGAGGAGTCCTTTCCTAATTGGCTTGCTTTTAATTAATGAAAACTTTTTACAGACTTCAGGAAAAATGCAAAGAAACATACATCTTTAACATACAGTAGTACTTTAAAATACGGAAGAGCTATGATTACAGCAGCTAATAATTATAGTTACCTGTCATTATTGACTATTTGGCACAGTACCAAGCCCTCTGCACACATATCATTTAATCTTTTAAATGACTTTATGAGGTACAGAGTATTATTCCCAGGTTGCAGATGGGGAAACTGAGGGTATGAAAAGTTAAGGAATTTTCCCAAGGCCAAACAGCTACTCTCAGTAGAAGAGCTGGGATTCAAATCCAGAACTGTCAGACTCCAAAGACCATGCTCTAAACCCCAGTACATATCCTTCCTAAGTGTGTCTCAGTAATTATGAAATGGCACTCTTGGCTCACAAATCAGTGGAGTGCCTGCCCAGAGACATTTCCCTGTAGGACCAATGGCTGTGCTCAGTGATCTACTCACAACCATCTGGTTCCACTAATTACACTGCATTCAGCATCCTCAGGTTAAATAGGGGGACAGTGGTCAAGGGAAGGAACAAAACTCACCAAGGAGGAATGCCCTTAGCTAACCAACCACTGATTCCAAAGGGAATCCTGACTTAATTTCCAGTCCTGCCCCCGACCCAGAAATGGCTCAGTCTCTGGGGGAATCTCTTATAACTGGACATCCAGAGATTGTTCCTAATGTCCTTCTGCATGGTAAGGTAGGATAGCATTGGCTGATCTAGTACTAAAGTCTTTCATAGACTACATGGAAAATACAGAAAAAGAAAAGCAAAACATTCACAATGTGTAACCCGATTATAATTGATGTTAAGATTTTGGCATTTTTCCTTCTGTTTCTTTCTGCGCATTTGCTTCTTTACATAGATGTAATAATTGTAAA